AGTACTGAATCTAAGCGTAGCTCCTCTAAATGGTGAGAAGTTGCTCCTAGTGCGTATTTCTGGCGAGAAGTTTGCCTGCCGTTTATTTGGTGGGAGGATTGGTATTTCAACTACGCTAGGTATAGTAGTCTGCGTAGGCGTCGCTGGTTCCGTGGTTTCCATATCTATCTCATTCTGGATCTGAGCTTCGATTTCTGCTCTCGCCTGGGTGCCTGGCACGTGTACGTCGATAGTATCACTATCGGGTGGCATTTTGATTACTAATCCACCTGGTCTGTGTGTTTTTCGGTGAAAAATAAGACGTGTCTAAAGTGATCACTTTAACAGCCTATAGCTCCACAGCGCGTGGCGTGCACGCTTTAAAGGTGATTGTAATCGATTTCTCGCGAGGGGTTTATATATATTTGACTAAAATTACACCTATTCTAGAAAACTCGAAGTTGTCTGTGCTGCGGTTGGCCTTGTTTGACAGGCTCTCTTGGTGTGGCAATTTACCTGACCTTACGCTATTGAGCTAGCCTGGCCATGGTTGAAGAGAAAACAACGAAGAAAGGAGCTCCAAAGAACAAAGGTGAGGCAAACTAAGTATGGGAGCAGGCTTGAAAAGATCTCCTATAGTCGCAGATCCAAGCTTAGATAGACAGGATTCCTATCCACGTTCAAAAGGTCCTTGAACATAGTGGTGGGAATGAGTACAAGGAAGGCAGGGGTCTGCTAAGAGAGCGTTAAGATTCGGCTGTCTGTATTTCGGTCATATTTCGGTACTATTCAAGATAGAGGTGCCGGACGGGCCAACGCCGCGAACGGGCCAACGCCGGATTATGTCCTCCAACACCAATTATTCTATCCACTTCAACCACCCATAACGTAACCACAATGTAATTAATTAACGCTGCGCTTACTGCTTTCAACTCTTAAAGCCTAATAGAAAGATTATATATTCTCAAATTGCAAAAAAATATAGTGATAACCCAGGAACGCTAAGCCGCCGCTGCGGAGGTATTTCTAGCTGCAGACAAGCAGCTGCATAAAACTGTAACGATGTTACAACTTCGTTAAGTATCGGACTAATCCCAGAGCCGGATCGGAGGTAGCATTCGCCGCCCTCTTCACCAACTACTCGTTGTGGGGTTAGATCTGATTCGGATCCGATTAAGATAAGTATATAAGGAGACACTCCCTGTAGCTAGCTCTATAGACTTTTAATATCCTTTCGTACAAGGCCTATAGGTGTCTATTCGAATCAAGGCTCGTTTAATGTCCCACGCACTCCCATATGCCTCTGAGTGACACTACCGCCGATACTGATCCGAGCAGTCTTGCCTGCGCCGTTACAGATCGAGTAATGCGCTCTAGCTGTTTCCCTTAGTTACTAGCAATAGCAATATTGAGAGAGTGACTAGGGTGTTACAAGTAACAAGAAGGATTCCCTCCTTGACGAGTGACGAGATGGCTGAAGGCCTATGGACGTCCATGTCAGAAGGTAATGATCATCACGGGGTTAGGTCACGTGATGTGCCATCCCGCCAAGAGCAACCATCCCCGGGATGGCTGAGAAGTAAGGGATGGCAGGACTGGAAGCAATGAAGATATAAGGATGGATGAATTTCATTATTACTCTCGTTGTGGTCAACTCAAATTGTACTTTTTTACTAGTTACTTTACTTCACGTCGACCCTCCTTTTCCGCAAGTTGTGGAGCAAGTATTTGTAGTGCTTACAAAGCCACACCGGCGGCTGCGCTGAATGTGGAGGTGTTCTTACTTCCGATCGAACAGTATATCTGGAGGTACAACGCAGATGCCATCTTGCCAGGAAATTGCGAAGACCGCAGGCTTTGAACTAAGCGAGTCTGCTTCTGCAACTGCAAAGAAAAATCGCAGCCTACGCAAAATCCCCTAGTAGAAGGTTAAAGAAGAACTTCTGAGCAAACAGGCACACTACCTCGACAAGCAGGAGCCTATTCTATTATTCGTCACGCCTGCATGCCGAAGAGGACCACACACCTACATCAATGACAACGCGGATAAGGCCCGCGACCGTTACGACAAAGAATGCGTAACAGACAAGAGTCTCAGTATCTACACGGACGGCAGTGGCATCGACGGCGAGATTGGGCCCGCAGCAGTGTGCCCACTCATGCAGCAGACACGATCAGGACATATGGGGTCCGACACACTATCTGTAGTGTATGCAGCAGAACTGCAAGGCATTAACCTGGCACTGCAGATCGCACAGGAGTACGCAAATGGAAATAGTAAACGAAGAGGGATAACCACATATACAGGCAACCAAGCCGCTATATAGTCCATAGCCAAGGCGGAAGGAGGATCGGGAGGATAATTCCTTATAGGAATCGCACGATGGGTCCTGGAGCTCCAGGAGAGAGGATGGACAGTGATCGTCCGCTGGATACCGGCTCATGTAGACATCCCAGGAAACGAGGCCGTTGGTCAGGCCGCTAAGGAGGTCACCGGATGGAGAGAAAACGGGCGGAAACAGCCACCAGAAGACTCACTGTCTTAGCTGTACCCACTCCGAATGACACTCAGAAGGTGGTGCAAAATACAGGCAGAGAAAGCCTAGATAAGAACGTGGAGAGCTGACAAGAAAGGACGGGCGACCTATAGACACACACTAACGCCAACTAAGAAGGTGCTCTAGCTCTATGAGAGACTTGCCAAACGAGAGAGCACACTGTTGGTACAACTGCGGACAGAGAAAATAGGTCTCAACAACTTTTTTTTCAATCGAGCAGCTCCAAATATTACCAGCTTATACAACCAGTATCTAGATAGCCTAGCAAACGATTTGTAAATTGTGACGTCTGTCCCGCTATGCAGGGACAAACGTTAGTTAAGGGAAAACGGCAGGTTTTCGAGGACAGATGGTCCTTTGGGGATGAAGTGGTGTGGATCAGCATCTAAATACACCGCGTCAGCCGTCTGCCGTGCCTGTTACTCCGGTCATAGCTGCGCAGAACGCGGCTAAAACGGAGTAGGACTTAATTAAATCAAACCAATTAATCAAACACCAAGGAATTGCAGATCAAAGTAGCTATATAAGCAATGAACAAGGCCACCAGAAATAAAGTCATGGACATCTTTAGAATAACTAGCAAATGGCCAGACTGCCTAACAACTAAAGGCATTACAGGATCTTTAGAAAAAGCCTTGATCTAAAATACATGGCTAGCTAATCAATTCCCCGGTATTCAAAGTATTTAGCCCACTCTGGAGTCTCAATCAGCTTGGGTACAAGCTCCTTCTCCATTGTCAATGTAAACATCCAACCCTCGTCCGGGTTTGCGCTCGACGACACCGGAGCATATATTACAACCACCCCTGCTGACTTCGCATCTCCCCATAGATGGCGGTATGTAATGGGTTTTGCGAAACCAAAGTCAAAGTTACTTACGTCAGCCGAGCGGTGATCGCTAACAAACATACTCATGGGTGGACGTGTGTCTGGACTGTGGGCTAGTGCTCGTTTGTTTCTGATGGGGGCTATCGCATTAATGAGGCTAAGAAAACGCGCTTCGTTACAGCTTTCCGTCAGCCTCCGGATATAGACTGCTAGCGTCGAGAGCGGTGCGTCTGAGATGACCTCTCCAGCTGTGAGGGGTGGAATAGGGGCCATGTCCGAAAATGCGCCGGCAACAACATTGCGGACAGTGCGCTCCGGGAGAGGATCACTTAGATGAGGCCGCATGTTAACAGCCTCACCCACCCAAAGGATCGTCGAGGGATCAGTCTTGTAACGAGGAGCCCGGATGCTGGACAGCATCCGCCAGATGTATGCACAGACGGCGTCATAAGTGGATATCCAAGGAGACATGGAGCCTGCCGGTTTCGCCAGCTCCTTCAGCGCGGCGGCCTTGCTCTTAGGCAAATGGAACAGTACAGATTGCTGCTCCAGGTGGCCGGCGTGTTTCTGCGCAACAGGAGGTCCCTCCACGAGGCTATCCTTTGGTACATCTTTGGTGAAGCGCGAGACATCAAGGCATGCAGGGTCCCATAGTGGAAAACTAGAAGAATTCGCGATGGCATAGCAATTTGCAGAAAGCTGGCGCGTGAAGGCATTCCAGCCCATGACATCGCAAGAATAGTGATGATGATGCATGCTCAAGACCAGGCCGCCTTTGGTCAGAGTGATTTGGTATGCTGATACCACTGGGCTGCGGTCTGGCTCGGCCTCTGGTCTTTCGCCCCAAGTCAATTCAGGTATACCTATTCGCACGAGACACGTTAGTGGTTTGGAAAGGCTTCACAGGGTACATAAGTCTACCTACTCCATAAGTTGATATCGCGCAACCCATCGCGGCCAGAAAAGTGAGCCTTCTCAATGTCGTCCAAGGATGGATGCTGACCAAGGGGATCTAACCAATGAACAACGAATTGCACGGTTGAATCTCTTCTCTTGACAAAAGAAAGCCCGCCCTCAGGATCAGGCTCGATAGTGCCGCACATGTGCCTTGCCTGGCTGAGTGTTCTTTCGAGCCCGGCTCTGAGAACGTCGACAGCATCGGTCTTCCTCGCATCTTCTAAACGAAAAAAGATAGCGTAATGAGTATAGGCACAATTGAGCGTGTGGTCAATGGTAGATAGTTTGAATCTTTCTTCTGCAGGATCATGCTCCCATCCTAAGGGGCGGAGCTGAAAACTCTGTCGCGATGAAATGGTGTTCATGTTATGTTCTGTAATGTTGTGAAGGAAGGGTAGAGAATGGACAAATATAACTATATAATTGGTGGTGATTAGCCTTATCATGTTAGTCGGCTTTTACTAAAGCTTGGCAACCTTGAAGCCATAGCGAAAGCTTTTTACCGGTCTACTTAGCCAGAAATCTTGATTCTCAATTGGTTTCTTGAATATAGTAATTCACTATAGTAAATCCAAAGGTAGTCTCACGTGTTAGGTCCGTGCGCATAACAGAATCGTATCAGGAAATCTGTGGTCCGAGTAGTTAACCGGGTGTCTAACCGAGTGTTTAACTAGGTGTCTAACCGAGTGTTCAACCAGGTGTCTAACCGAGTGTTCAACCAGGTGTCTAACCGAGTGTTCAACCAGGTGTCTAACCGAGTGTTCAACCAGGTGTCTAACCGAGTATTTCACCGTGCGGGCAGAGTTTTGCCGGCGATACGCAGAAGCCAAGAAGTCTCACTCAAGCTAAAAGTATGAAGTTATAAGCATTGTACTTAAATCATGTTCAGGTTAGGGTACCTGCAGCACAATTCTACCAACCTACTGGACAACGACTTCTAACTTTGATATCCTGCCACCGATTTCCAAGACTAGTTCAAAAACACAACAGTTATTCCAAGCTTTGAGCTATAAGCATTAAGATGCTATCTCTCCTTGTTGTCTTGCTGGGTCTCCTCCTAGGCCTTCAACTTTGGAGGAAGTTGCAGGGAAACAACGGAAATCTTCCACCTGGCCCCAAGCCACTTCCTATCATTGGCAATGTGAGAGATTTGCCTCCCAGTGATATTCCTGAGTATCAGCATTGGCTTAAATTCAAGGATCTTTACGGCCCCATAAGCTCCATAAGCTTGCTTGGACAGCCAATTATCTTTCTTCACGAACATGATGCAGTTCGGGATCTCTTGGTGAGATCATCAAAAATTACCTCATCTCGACCTTCCTTCGCTTTTGCCGACATGTGCGGGTTTGGGGCGCTTCTAAACCTTCTACCATACAACTCTACATACCGCCTACAGCGTCAGATGATTCACAAACGTTTCGGTACCAAGACAGCAGCAGAATGTTTCAAGGACGCTGAATCTATAGAATCACACCGCTTCCTTTTAAAAACGCTGGATGACCCAACTAATCTGTTAGAGCACGTTAAATCGTAAGTTCAGTTAGTCTTTGTGCCTGTTATCCCTACTAAGCAGTTCTGCCTTTATAGCGAGGCGAGCGCCATCATTCTACGTATCACATATGGTTACTCCATAATCCCGCATGGCTCCGATCCATTGGTTTCGTTAATTGAGGAAACAATGGACGCCTTTGGTCTTGCATCTGACCTTCTTACTTGGCCAGTTAACGCTCTTCCTTTCCTCAAACATCTTCCCGAAGGGTTTCCAGGCACGTCCTTTAAGAAGACGGCCCGAGAATGGAGCAAGCTAGTCTACAAGACGCTCAATGTTCCCTACGATTTTGTTCGGCAGGAGATGGCCAAAGGAACCCACATCCCTTCATACGTCTCGTCACTCATCGAGCAGGACAAAGAAGCTAATGGTGAAGCGGTTGTAATAGACGCAACTAGAGAAGATGTCATCAAGAAGACTGCCGCTGTAATGTATGGTGGTGGGTCCGATACAACTGTTGCATCCATTCATGCATTTATTCTGGCAATGATATTATTCCCAGAAGTTCAGAAGAAGGCCCAAAAGGAAATCGATACCGTTGTCGGCGGTAATAGATTGCCCCAGTTCGAAGATCGAGACCAGTTGCCGTACATCAACGCTGTAGTCAATGAAATCTTTCGGTGGCATCCTGTTGCACCGCTAGCTATACCCCATAAGGTCGATGAAGAGATCAGTTACAGAGGTTTTCAAATCCCAAAAGGAGCGTATATTATAGGGTCAGTTTGGTGGCTCTTGAATGATCCGCAGACATATTCAAATCCATCTTCTTTTGATCCTGATCGGTTTCTAGAGCCTCGCAATGAGCCGGACCCTACTTATGCAAACTTTGGATTTGGCCGCAGGACTTGTCCTGGTCGGTTTGTGGCAGATCAAACTCTTTTCATTACTGTCGCTCGTATGTTGGCGGTATTTGACATTAGAAACGCTGTCGACAAATCAGGCAAAGAAATTATACCGCAGAGAGTTGGCAGCCCTGGCTTGATCATGCGTGTGCGTGACTTTCCATTTAGCATTAGGCCCAGAAATGAGCAGTATGTATACATCATCAGGTCTTTCAAAACAGAGCACCCGGAGGAAAATCATACAATTAAAGGTCTCATCAATGTATAATATTCTATATTAAGTAGACTATGGCATCCAGTCTTGTTACTGATCTTCAGCTTATCAGCGGGCTATGCCCTCGCTTCCAGAGATAACTACATAAGGTGTCTAACATCAGTCCCCTGTGCAGCGAGAAACCCTGTGGACCAAGAAGAGCTAATGAGACACAACGCTTTCTTGCAAACACCGTTATCCTTACAGTTTCATTAGTTGTTCTCGGTTCACCGGGTTTCTCATTGCACAGGGACTGACGTTAGCTATCCTTAGGTTATGTTGACTGTTGTCCGGCATCTAAACGACTAGGTCAAAATATTGCGACATATTTTTAGACTGCGACAAATTGTATCCTTGTAGCCCTACGAGAGAAGGACATCAGACAATTAGAAAATTAATATTTAATAGTAACGTGTCCCACCATCGAAATGCGCACGGAATGCAGCAACGTATCCTTAGATGTGAATAACTTAACAATTCAATAGCTAGAGTTAATCCTCTGCTTCTGCCAACGTTTTTTATAAGAAAGTAGCGGTCATAAGCAAGCAGCACATCCCATCCACTTTACGCAAATCTCTTATCTCATTGTACAATGTGTTAAGGGCGAAGAGGCCTTCGAACGAGTATGCATTAACCTATATTACAGAAGAAGAAAGATAAAGAAAGCAAAGCTATCGTACGACGTCCCTCGCTTTATACTCTTGCCTTAGATTCCTTCGTATAAAGAAGGTTTCGTAACTAAGCGGTATAAAGAGAATACGTAATACAATCACGTGTTTCACTCACGGGCGCAGCCTATTACACTTAGCGCTTAATAGAATTATAATAAAACTATCCGCTGATATAGCGTTTCTTTAATAGAATAATAAGCAGCTCTGGGTAGCTCTTATAGATAAGAGATAGAGAAAGAAGCGTATCTAGCCTAGTATGCTTAAGCTGTCCGATAATTATTATAGTAGAGCTACTTTCTAGTCTCTATGGAAAGTGCGAGAAGCTCGCCACTAATATAAGCAGAAACAGCGCGATTATGAGAAGTTATAATGCTAAAAAGCTATTATAATTAAAGCTAGAAAGAAGAGGAAGCTACTTAAAGCTTAAGAACTAGATACGCGGCGGCGGGCGCGGGCACAGGCAAAACTAGATCGTGAGAGGTAGAAAGCTAAAGCAGCTGCTTACTAGATAGCCCGCTAAGCCACCCACAAACGACTTTAAAAAGCTATCAAAATCTCTTAAATAGGTAAGAAGCCTAGCTCTAAGCGCCGTACTAAGCTGGTATTAAAATTTCTATCGTTGGTAGTAGTAGTGGTGGTGCGCAGCCAGCCGATCGATTAGCTGCACCACCATTACCAAGCTCGCGTTTAGGCCGCCCTATTAAGCTGCTAATTAAATATTAGTAGATATATTAGATAAATAATACTACGAAATTACTACACTAAAATTTCTCGCGATAGTAGCTTTTATGTAGAGCTCTACAGCTTCAAGTTTGTGATAGTACTGTTGGGGAAAAATCCGGCGTTGGCCCGTCCACGGCGTTGGCCCGTCCGGCACCTCTAGCGCGCTGTATACTTATTCTTAATACATAATACTATGTAAAATCACGTAGTTTCCCACTAACTAAGAATGCTGTATTCAAACTTATTCTTAGGATCTGTAAGCAGTTAAGAGTGTAAGAAGTATTGTCTATTCATGTTTGTATCATGATAGGAGCAAGTTTAAATACAGCGTTATTAGTCAGTGAGTAACCACGTGACTATAAATTGTAACAGAGTTACATGCCTATATATTATACTACACTAGAATAATCAGTTCAAGTTATTCTCGTGCTTACCTTTTGCTGGTAGGTTGGTTGCGGCCGAGTCGTTGCCACGTAGTATTGGCTTAGTGGGCGCTGGTGCTCACATCGATTACATGGTACTTCTGGGCTTACAACTTCAGTTACAAGTTTTGGTGTGTTTGTATAAGAATTTTAGATAGAATAATTTGCTAATTGTAAAATTCACATTTTAAGATACTCCCTAGTCATTTTGACTGCAGCCACTATATACGTCGCTATCATAGTCGCGATCGCAGTCGCTGCTACCCACCTAGCTAGCCATCTTACTTAGTATTATTAAGCTTAGAAGTGACTATTGCGACTCAATTCTTGGGCAAGGAGAACCGATTTGGTATACATCTAGTAGCTCGTCTTCCTTGTCTGCTGTGTTATCATCGCTGCCATCATTTTGATGTTGAGAGAGTTGGCAGAGCAGCCAGTACGGGCAGACTTCATGGCGGACCACCGCAGCTACCTCTGCTGCCTCTGTATAGTCAATTGTAAGCACACTCTGGTTATACTTATACTGCAATCCTTTTGCATACGCTGTAATTATATTGTGCCTTAGTGTCGTAGCTGTAGTCGTTAATACCGTACTGCCAGCGCGTAACATTGCTGAGACACCATGCTGGTGTTTGATAATGCTGGCAGCAATGTCGCGTGGGAGGTGCTCACGAAGCACGGCGTAGACAAAGGGCTCTTGCGCTTGAATCTGGCGGACGGTTTTTAGTGTAACGCAGCGTCGCCGGGTCGTGGGTTCTCTGGCTCTGGTGTTGTGTCCCAGTCAAGCTCATCGCGCTCTCCTCGTGTGCGCGGACGACAGCGGGGCGCGCTCAATTGCTCGCCCTGTAGCGCCATCCGAACCTGTGTGAAGCGCTGCAACGGCGGTGGACATAACGGTAATGAGCCTAAAGGAGGCGGAGAGCTTTGTATGTATGGTGTCGTCTGTCACAACTGAGCTGGCTGTGGTGTAGTGCGCTCGTACTCGTTGTCAGTGTCACGCACCTGCAACTGGTCAAGACCAGTTCGCCGCCAGCCGCTCTGTATAGTGGTGCGCGTGAAGGTAAGGCGCTGAATCTCAGCAAGAGTCGCCAGAAAGTCTGCTTTGTTGACGTCTTTTGAGCCCGTACAAAACACCCACTCTAAGCAGCGGCCGTAATTCCAATTGAGTGGGTGAAAACAGCTAATGTCAAGCGGTTGGAGGAGATGTGTAGTGTACGGTGGTAGCGTAAAGAGCTGTATATGCCGCTGCTCAACGTATTAAATAAACTCTCTAATTAAGTGAGAGCCGTGTCCGTCTACTAGTAGTAATCGCCACGCGCTAGTAACTAGACCGCTGCTTTGTCCGACGATTAAATTACTCCAACCAGGCGAGCGCGAACTGATCGTTGCTGTAGCCACTCTCTGAGGTCGCATTGAGGTAATTGTCAGGCAGATCAACTACCCACTGCTCCATAATTGTTGCTGCCTAAATAATGAACATTGACCCGATTGCAAATCCAGTAGAACAGGTACATTCAACGAGGGTAATAAGCTCACGGTTATTGGCGTTGGTGGCAAAGACTTGCTAGCCGCCAGCGCTGTATACGTACCGGCTGCTTGTAACCCCGATCCGACAACCAATCTCATCCATACTGTACATGTCGTCGGATTGTAATCCATCTAGAAATGGAAAATCATAGTTACCTCAACTTGTTTCTTTGTTACGAAATCCCAATAATAAAGGACCTTTTACCCTTCGAATGGTATAGCTGGGTGCTATCCTTACTTATCTGTCGTTCTTTTAATACTTAGTTGAAAATCTACAGGGGCAGACAATTGGTCCGCTACCTCGTCTACTGTACTAACAACTTGCAGTAAACTCTGTCAAGACCAAAGCAAAAGTGCCTTTAAACTATGTAAGCGCAGAAGTACCATGTATAGTCACGTAGTTACTCACTGAAAAATAACGCTGTATTTAAACTTGCTCCCATGATGATACACATCAAAATAGACGATACTTCTTACACCTTTAACCACTTACAGCTTTACTGTGTGCTGTGAGAAATTTGTTGCACCAATCTTGGATGTCTGATGGTTAGGCATATAAAATCTTGCTGCTTCATGGTCTTCCTGCACTCAAAGCTCCATATCAGAAGTAGTCAGGAAGAAGAGATCTTGGAGTGTCTTGATTTGATCGTGGACTATTGCCTTGTCTTTAATATGATATACTAGTTCCTGTTAAATTATCTTAGTAGTGTGAGCTTCAACTTGTCCTAGCTTATCTCGGAGATGTCTGTATCTTTTAGTCTCCTTGTAATAGCTGCTACAATTTTGGCTGTACTGTAGTAAGTCTTGTTCAGAGGGTAGAGTTACAGGTGATCCGTCCGCATTGACGGTATATGCTGGTTTGGTAGACTGAACAGGCTTTCGTGAAGAATTGCGTGGTTGATTGCGATCAACGTTTTTCCATACGTCTCCTACTTCTGCAATGCGTTTGATGATGAAGCACCAAAGCTCCCAATTGCTGTCCTTAGAGGATGATATCTGAACGAACTGTGCGCATCGACATAATGGGATAGTTAGGTAGGTAGTCAAATTGACTGAAGAAATATGCGGATTATGCTAGGCTCATAGCTGTAAGCTGTTGATTTTATAAGAAGTTTGTGTTGTCCTCTTATGTATGTTGCTAAAAGTAAGTTGAGATGCAACATAGTTAGTCAGTAGGCAACCACGTGACTCTATACGATACTCTAAGCTTACAGTTAGTATTAATCCAGGTAAGAGAAGAAATCATCAGAGTTGATTGTAATAAGAGTAAAAAATAAAATTTATCCATTCTTTGTACCAGTTGCTTTGGATCTTGCCATCCCTCGGATGTCGCCTCTTGGCTAGATGTCAATGACGTGACCGTTGCGCTCCGCGATGATCATTACCTTCTGATATGGATAGTAGTTGGCCTTCAACCATTCGCCCCTCGTGAATGAAGGAATCCTTCCTTTTATTTGTAACACATCGTTGATGCCAAGGAGATATAGTCAGTTCTATATTGCGAAGAAGAATACGGTAAGGTAATGAATTGCCACTCTAAACTATTTGGAACAGACCCTAGTGGATATGTATCCCACATTAACACGCGTTCTATAGATAATAGAGAGGTTCAGCGCCCTCGACTATCTCATAGACTTCGGTGATGGCTTCTGCGAGCTCAGGAGGAAGAGGGCCCGCCTCGAGTGCGTCGAGAGTTTTGTTAAGCTGCCCAACGCTTGAAACTCCGAAAATAATGCCGTCGCCATACGTTCCATCCAAGTTGCTATGAAAAGCAGTCCATCGTATTGCAGATGCATGCCCATTCATGCCGTGTTCCTTTGCGAGCTCAAGGATGGTAGCTACTGCGGCGTGTACTGGGGGTTTCCTATACATGATATTGTAAGGCCTCCCGATAAAGTTCTATATTATTAGAGTTGAATAGGTATAAGTTCGCTGGAGCTGGGGGCTTACATCTTCCTGCCAGCGCCCTGAGGTTTCCGAGTGTTCCGAGAATAGACCGCCGGCCGCAGGACTAATACCGAATCAGATCGGACTTGTCGTGATAATTGGCACTGACATACCTATAACAATAGAACGACATGCTATGTTTGCGCAAGAGCGGAAATAGCTCCTTCTCGCATCCTCTTGCAATGGCGTTGTAATGCCCCTCATACACGCTGGGTTTTGCGTAGCCACGCTCCTCGCAGATTGTAAGGAACCTTTCCACTTCGGTAGCCGAATAGTTAGACAATCCAAAGTTCCTGAACTTTCCTTGCTGAATGGCATTGTTCATTGCCTTTGCTGTATCTTCAAAGGGAGTCTGACGATCTGGAAAATGCAGGAACATGGTCTCTACACTAGGTGCCTGAAGGTCATGAAGCGACTGGCTAATACTGAACTCAAGCTTTGCAGGCTCGTGATCTCCAGGATTAGCGCTGTGCACTTTTGTGTGCACATTAAATCTGGATACTGCATTGACCCGACCAAGGCGTGATTCTGAAGCACCTTGATCTCCCGGAGAATAGTCACGGGCAGTATCGAGATGAGTATATCCACGGCTATGGAATGCGTCCAAAAGAGCTTGGATATCTTCATCCTTATCAAAGCGAACGGTTCCGGGGTCTTTACTAGTGTCTCCAATCTGTCATTGTGTCAAAAGAGTGCAGTATCTAGGTTTGAGATAAGATTACCTACCATGTGAGTCCCAAGAATGACTTTAAGCGACGATTGGGAAGCCATGGTGGTGAGTACAGAAACGTACTTCGTAGTTAGAAGTGTTCACTAAGGATTTTGGAAATTGAAGTTTACTTGTGGTCTATCGGCCTTTTATAGAACGATGGACATAAGCGGTGTCTTGTCTCCCGATCTAACACGTTACAATCTAACTAGGGGCTGGGAATATAGGTCACAGGACCCCCTACCACATAATCAACGCAATTACTATGATACTCTTGATAATTGAGTGGCCGCACACCCAGACGCGATTCATTATGTGGGTCGGGCCGAGCCAGCTGCCTTCGCGCTAGTCTCTAGTCTCTTTTATCAGTTCGTCTTCCTAGCTTATCATACGATAGCGAAACTATGAACACGTTGTTGTCGGTGGATCATGAATAGTCTAAAGGTCTAGACAGTAGCGTGTCACTGCGATAGCCGGCGCTGCGCTAATTAGGCGCACAGACATCATATATCGGATATGTACCCTGAAGAACAACCGTGCACTTAGAACAAACAATATACGCTAACTAGCAACTGGGTAATTCCGTTCAGCACTATACAAGGTAACAGCCTGACGTGTCCAGACTCTGCGGCCCTTTTAGACTAATCAATATCATGAGCTCTCAAGCAGACACCCCCAAGCAGACACTGACCGTCCCAGATTAGCACGTAGGAGAGGCGTATGTAAGGAGTGTCGTATGGAAAAGATTTGATGTATGCTATCCTAATTCTAATTTTGGAGGAATATACTAATACTATGTATTAAGACAAGTGATGGGGCTAATCCATGTCACAGTTGTGAAGTATAGACAATGATTGATTGATTTTGTCCTACTTGGTTTCAGCCGTGATCTCCACAGGTATGCCCGGATGACAGGCATGGCAGACAGCCGACGCGATGCGGACGTAAGTCCACAACGTCCCACTTCACTCTCGAAAGAACCATCTGTCCCCAGAGGCCTGCCGTTGTCTAGCTTCTATCTACGACTATGTACATTTCGTCTCTAGAAGTAACGTCTTTTGCCTATAACTATTTATATTCTGGGAACTATGTTTCTATATGCATACTGTACTCGAAGCCTTATATATGCAGCATTACTCAAGGCTCGTAGAGGCATAGTTGCCTCATACTTTACGTCTATAATACCTTCAGTCTCCCCCTAGTGTTCAGCTGTCGTATATAGTAGCTTGCCCTAATACCCCTAGGGCTTAGAATATGTTCCCCGATCTCTAATATTCTTTAAGTGTTATAATACCGTCCACTAGGTTCCTATATAGCCGTATCTTGTAGTGTAACCTGCCACCAGGTATAGCAGTAGCGGCATTTCGTCATAACGCAGATTCGCAGGAGCGATACCCTACTTATACGTGTCGTTAAGCCTACTAAGCATAAGGGCTCTCATGCGAGCCTCCTCAGACCTTATTAAGTATGTTAAAGGGGGACCAGTTCTTTAATATATGGGGCGACAGTGGACGAGGCTGTCTAGTGATCTATAAGTATGTAGTAGCACTAATAGTAGTATACCGGGTGTCTATAAGGTATTTCGCGTAAGAGACGATGTCGTTTAGCTAGAGGGCTCGTCGATGCGGGACGTTGCAGACATTGTCAGATAGTAATAGGCTAGCCAGGGAGCCTATTAATGACTTTATATGTACGTGATGTAATCATAATACTAAATAGGATGTCTAGGCTCCGTCGTCGCGTCTTATGTTACTGTGTTGTAGCTAGATAGCTGCCGCTGTATTTAGTAGACGTGTTATGTTAAGTAGCTTGCTCGCAAATTTTGCTATCTATGCCAGTCAGGGCCGCAACAGCGGCTCTACAAGTGCCAAACCGACGCGAGGGGACGCGCGATGGCTTGCAGAGACCATTGCGGCCATTGGCGGGTGTGTTTCCAGTCTTTCTCGACGATAATTCCAAAAATTGATTTCTCGCTGTTTGTCGTGTTTTTAAGTATAACTATCAATCAAGATCAAATTAAGTTTCAAAGAGGTACGGCAAAAGTCTACGAAGTCTCTCGAACAACGTTACAGCGTCGATGCACTGGTATGCTTACCCAACGCGATTGCCGACCTAACTCAAAAAAGCTTACTAAGGTAGAAGAAGAGGTGATAGTTAACTATTGTTGAAGGCTGGAGAACTTTGAACAAATGGAATGTATTGAGAATGATGGACCGATCAATCTGCTGATCTGGATCAGTAGATCAGTCAGACTATATACTTATTTAACTAAGTCTAACTCCATTAAGTAATCCATCTCAGTCTTCATCTGATCCACCATTCCTCCATCTGATAAGATCAGATGGATCAAAGGATCGGACGGATCATGTGATCTGGGTCAGGTTGGTCACCGACCAACCGACCCATTGGTTCTGCGACAACTATATAGTTAATCTAGATCTACGTAGATTTTTACCCACCTATGCAGCCGTGCGTAATATAGCTAATAGACTCCTTACTACGCGTAGCGCAAGCTAGGTTAGTATAGCCGCGTAACTTTATTAACTTATAGATAGTCTTAGGACGCGTTTTAGTTATGCTTATGATAGGTAGAGAGCTCTATATAAATATCTAGTCTTAATTAAGAGCTAGTTTAATCTTATAGAGTAGATAAAGGCTAAGTATAGTATCTATAACGAGGACGTCTATAACCTTAATAAAACTAGTTTTATAATAGGTAAGATTATAAACTAGCCTATTATTATTGTTATGGGCGGAGAGGCCTAGCGAACGAGTATGCTTCTACCTATCGTACAGAAGCTAAAAGATAAGAAAAAGAGAAGATAACTAAGTACAGACTTCTCTTATACCTGCTCGCTTCTGATCACGTGTCCGTACAGAAGGTATATCACGTGGTCGAAGATCACGTGATCCTCTTCAGTAGAGATCACGGGCGCAGCCCTTTACAATACTCCCCTCCTCCACTCGTACGGACATGTTTGCGTTTGTTTGTTTTCCTAGGAGCACGCGGCTGCCTAACTTGCGGTGGAGCAGCGGCGTTTGTTTGCTCTAGTGAAGGAGGATTTCCACGAGAGCAAACGCTCCCTCCGTACGATATGTAGAGCTGCCGTCTCTCTCCTTCAGCTTTTTCTTCCTTTGTGTTAAATCAATTTGACTCCACTACTACACAGATTTCTTCTTTTCTTTCTGACCACACTCGTACGATGCCGCCGAAAGCGCAACCACCCCCTCGCGGTGTTTGGGCCAACGCAAACACCAACAGTTTGCAGTTTTGCACTGACGGTGGCCCCAATGACACTATTAACAACGTGGCTAACCAAATCTTCGACGCTGCCCACCAGGCTCTGACTCGTACGACGCTAGGCGCTGTACTGCCAACTTTCAACATGCTAGGCGCTGTCAACCTGAACGAGTATCGTGTCTAGTTTATCTTCGATCAGCGCGTCGCAGATGAGCTGCG